GTGCTGCTGTACGCTTCTCTTAAACGAGCAACCACTGCACGCGCGTGTTCCGAATTCGTCGGGTCGGACCAGAACCGAGGAATCAGCCATTCGCAGACGTCCGCAAAACAGGGGACACTTCGCTGCTCGTATTCCTCCACCGTTTCCGGAACAATGGCAGCTCCGGGAGAAGGGCTCTGAGCCGGAATGAGCTTCGCTTCAAACCATTCAAGAATTCGCAAATCATCGTCATCCCCGAGAATTACCTTATCTTCATCGGGTTCGGGTATCCGGAGACGGCTTTCGAGGGCCCTAGCGACACTGTCATCACCCACGCTCTTCAAGAAAAAGTGTCGCGCCCGCTGTCCTGGTTGTTGTGCAAGAGTCTCCAGCATTGCCAGCACTGTGGTAAAGTCCCAGCAGCTCCAACCCGAGTGGCATCGAATACCCAGCATTTTTTTTGGGTCAAAATTTTTGATATCGTGTACATCGGCACCGCCTACGACGAGTATTGCTGGCCCTACACTCTGCTCGCCAATTGTTCTCTTGCTGTTTTGGTTGTATGCGTGCGTGCGTGTGCATGTGCATGGATGCCAAGCCACTTGTTTCGCGGAGCTACCAGTTACTCACTAACCCGGAGCACGGCCGGAACCTTCTAGGATCCAGAACCCTCTCGGACTTAGGGGCATAAAAGAGGCGTGTCAGGAACACAGTTGCTGACCTGAGAGGCCAAAGAGCAAAAGGCCAAATGAGTCACCGGACGAACCCCTTCGTCCGGTGAGTCGGTCGCCGAGTAGCTGGGGGTCGCTCTCGGGCAGTGGGGCTTCGCTGCAGGCCAAACCGTGCCGTCTCAGCTCGGCTCCAGAAGATGACAGCCGCCGATGAGTACCGTCGGCGTCCGCTTCCAACTGCCGCTGGTTCTCACCAGCGACTCGTTTCTGGTCGGCGTGGGTAGTCTACAGGCGAGTCCCGTCCCCAGACCTCCAGTCGTAGGCAGTCCACTCGTAGAGACTCTGTTTGAGAGTCTCGCTGTGCGTTTCGAAGATGTTTGTCCTAGGCGGTCATCATGTCGCCGGTGTGTGCGCTTGATCAAACTTGCCATCCCCGGCAAGTCGTCTTTCGAGGACAAATCCCGTGAAGAGAAGGACGCCGAGTAGCCTCGACGGACGAAGTTGATGCGGTGGCGTTTTCTCCTCCACTCCTCCGCAACGGCAGACTCGGGCGCTGGTCTAAAGCACCCGGACCCGATTGCTTGCCTCCGCCTGAGTGGTTGCCTCCTCCACCTCAGTGGTTGCCTTCTCCCCCTCAGTGGATGCCTCCACCCGAATGGTGGCTTCGCTTTCAGACTGCTGTACGGGGACCTCGGGACCCCAACAAATGGCCGCGCTTACGAACTCTTCGTCTTCGTTTTTACACACAGCAGTGTACGGGGGAAGACCAGTTCGCCGAAGCAATATTGTGCAAGCAAAGAACCTAACCGTAACCCACAGGCTGAGTGCGACTCTCCCAACTCGACCAGACGCTTCTCTGCCGCCGCCGGCGCCGCAAAGGACACGTTCACAAACACCTCGCCATGACTTGGTGCTGCCAAACGCGGCGGTACCAGGTCCGCCTTCACACCCACTATCACGTCCGCTTCACCGTTACTTACCCGCGCACTGCCGAACTCAGTCGGAACAACACCCATGCTTACACTCAACTTCCGGAACTATCGCGGAACGGGACAACTGACGGGCGTAGGAACTCGAAGTTGCTCGAAGTAAAAATGGAGGAGAGTTCGTTGGCGACGGGCATTTCGTTGGCGGAGAAGAGCTTCACTCTGGAGGGAATCCGGGACAATACTTTCGGTAACGACCCCGAAGAGATAACCCCCCAAGTTAAAGATCTTAGCCCTTTGTGCTACATGAACAAGTCGCGCGGAACTCGAGTTTCGGGCCTGCACTGCACCTTGTCACGCCTCCCTAAGTCTGCCGTAGCGTCCGGATGGATGCAATCGCATTCTGTTGCCTCAGATCTCGGCACGGATTAATTACGGTTTCGACGGCCTCGACCGTAGTATTTACGACTACAACACCTCCCAGCTCGAAGTCTTCGCCTTTCGCTGTCGGTGGTTTGGTGAGCACCAGGGCATGGTTTATGGCGCTCGTCGCGTCGAGTAGGTTGGTTATGATGAACCTTTATCCCATGGAGCGAGATCCCTCTTGTGACCACCTGGGTAGCATGGGCTCTCTGCCGGTTACGACTAACATCGGAGATATCTTGTGGCGCTGTGGATCGTTAGGTTGGTAGATGTACACTGGGTGCACTAGCAACAGCGTCAAGTCGGAATAGTTACCGTCTTGATGTATCGTGGACATTTTGGACTGGAGAGTGCGGTGATTCGATTCGTTTAGTCTGGACGAAGTGCTGTACGAACTCCTTGGACCGTGGCCACCAGAACAGTTCGGACATGTTTCTGTAGGTCTTAGTGACGCCTTGACGTCCGCCGCGCTCTCCCATATGGTACCAAGCAGTCAGCTTAAACCGAAGTCGAGTCGGGACGTACAACTTTTTGGTCGCGCGTAGAGGCCGTCTTCTCTTTTGAGGAGGTTTTGCAACTCATCCATCGACCTACCTTGCCTGTGTCAGCCTTCGCCAGGAAAGTGAGATTGCGGTGGTCGGAAAGGATCAGGGTGGGTCTTAGCCGTACGTAAGGGTACCACTTGGTCACAAAGTATTTGACCGCCCGCAACTCTCTTTCTCTCGTTGCTACCGTACTCGATCACTTCCAACCTGCCATCGATGACCTGGCCCAATACCGCTCCTACTGCGTACTGACTGGCGTCGGTATTTGGTACAAGCTGCGCTTCCGGGTGGGGAGCTACCAAGTAGTCAGCATTGACGAGGTCCTCGATTACCTGTCGCATTGCTACTTCGTGGGAGTCACGCCGCGTGAAGCTTTGGGTCTTTTGGCTGTTCATGGGCTCCTGTAAGGGCTGCACCTTGTCGGAGTATCCTGGCACGAACCTTCGGTGGAACGAGAGTAAACCCAAAAGCGACCTCAACTGCTTGTAGTCTTTTGGCGAAGCGACTGTGCTCAAAGCCTCCACCTTCCCAGGCCGGGGCTTGATGCCGCACTTCCCTACGACATGACCAAGCAGGGGGATTTCCTCGCGGAGCC